ATTTCATGATTTCAGCTATTTGAATCTGAAATTTCACAGTATTGTAACTGAAGGGGCCCTGACCCAAAAAGGAGTTGTTGGTTGCGGGGGGGGGGGTGTTCACAAGGTTATTGTAGGGGGAATTGCAGTATTGCTACCATTACTTCTGCACCGCTGCTGGTGGCGGTGCTGCCTTTAGAGCTTGACAGCTGGAGAGAGGTGGTTACTGGCCGGGAGCCCAGGTCTGAAGGCAGAGCCATCGCCAGCCGCAGCACAGAAGTAAGGATGGCCTGGTACAGTATTGCCACCCTTAGTTTTGCACTGCTACCTGCAAAGCTGGGCTTTTAGTCAGCAGCTGCCCACTCTTCGGCTACCCAGCTCGGAAAGCAGCAGTGCAGAAGTAAGGGTGGCATGGTGTGGTATTGCCACCCTTCTGTGCTGTTGCTGGCGGGGCGCTGAAGGCATCGCAGTAGTAAGGGTGGCAATATCATTACCCACTCTTTCAAAATAACCTTGTGACCCCCTCCCCCCATTAACTCCCTTCTGGGTCAGGACCCCCAATTTGAGAAACGCTGGTCTCCCCTGTGAAATCTGTATAGTGTAGGGTAAAAAGCACACAAAAGACTAGGTTTCACGGTCCATGACGTGTTTTTCATGACCGTGAATTTGGTAGGTCCCTACTTATTTGCAATGAGTCTGGCTTCACTTCTTTAAGTTATCTGTTGTAAACAAGCCTCTCTGCAATCAGTTTCTTCTCATAGCTAATGTCTAATGAATAGACTTCCACATCATAGAACCCGTTCAGCCTTCACAGATAAAAGGATGATGGAATGGCTATGGAAACTAAACTACCATCACATCTCTAAAGTTAGTCCCCTCACTTAAGGATTTTGAGGCACTTTGATGGGCCAGTGTGGAAATGTTTCATGGAAATATAAATAACTTAAGTATCTAGAATATTATCAGTTTTTCATGGTATATTAGCATGTATTTAATATCAGTGGTAGCAAACACTGATGAGACTACTAGTCAGTGGATATTCTTAACTTTTAACAACTTTTATTTTGGAGCTTCAAGGATCAAAAGAGGCTGAAGCTTTTGTAAATGCCTTTCTGAAGCGTAGTATGCCACGACTGAAAGATGAAGCCATCCAGGATAAGCTAACCCGAAAAGCTGTAGTTCTTGAGCATTGTCCTAAAAGAAGGAAAAAGGACAAAAGGAAGAAAACAAAAGGGTTTTCTGCCAAGCAGAGGAGAGAAATGCGTCTCTTTGAAATTAAACCAGAACAGCAAAAGTAAGAACTTAAAAGGCTTTCTTTTTGTGAGTTATCAAGTAAAAGTTGAAAGCAGTGTACATGCAGCAGCATGTATGTATTGGTGCTAACAGTTATTAATTAGTACTCTTAATCTTTTGCTGAGTTAGGTCAGTTCTGTGCTGCTCATAACATTTGGCCATATAAGGACAGTTCTTTATTTTTTTATTTTAGAGGTATATATTGTGAATATCACTGACATTGCCTTCTTTTTGTGCTTGTAAATCTAAATATGGTGAGAAGTCAGTATCAAATTACTATATGGAGCCACAGGTCCCTAGTTTAAAAAGTTAGAATGACAGTGACCAGACTTAGTATCTCACAGTGCATTAAATGATTTTATTAAAATGCATCCTCTTTGCATAGTTGGAAAATGAAGTAGACAGAGAGAATACAAGAGTAGGAGTTTCTAAGCACACAAAATGCAACATCTTATGTGATGTACATTAGAAACCTCTTTTTAGAGTAAGTAATCTTACAGCTTGGAATGTTGTATTGTATAGCTAATGACTTCATGAGATACTCCAAAGAAACAAGTTCTAACTTTGTATGTAAATTGTAGGTTGGTTAGTAGTTAAGCTGTTATTTTGTATCATACAGACTTCTGAAAAGATACTGTATAATCTTTTTTGTCTCTTGCTGACTATTGAAGATATGAGTTGTTTCTACCATTACATGAACTCTGGAAACAATACATCAGGGATCTGTGTAATGGACTCAGACCAGATGCGTAAGTTCAGTTTATTTAAAAATATGTAGGGTCTAGATTGATCTTTCAAAGACTATCATCTTATTACCATAAGTATAAACATTTTGCATAATGTTTTTAAACAAGCATGTATTTCTATATTTTTGTAAATACAAAAGTGTACTGACTTTAACACCACAGACGAAATTTATTGTAAATATATATTTTTTTTAATGTTTTTCTTTGTTTTTTGTTTTTTTAAGACAACCACAGATGATTCAGGCCAAATTGCTAAAAGCTGATCTCCATGGAGCTATTGTTACAGGTATTACTTTTTCCGTTCCTTTTTGAGGGCTTCTTTCAAAGTCCTCCCAAAGGGGTGGCAGTCACCCTACACTTTCTGTTTCTAAACCCACATGTTCCTTTCCCTTAACTTCTGCCACAAACACATTTAACTGTTCTTTCTGTAGTCTTAGTACTTGTGTAAACTCTCCAAATGTTACCTACTTTGGGGTCACATATTGAGACTTAATTATTATTTGACCTACTCCCCCCCTGATTAGACTTACCCCGGTACTTCATTTAAGTACTTGTGGAAACCCTCCTTTGTTAGAATTCATTGTTAATATGCACAGCCACCAATAGCTATGTGATTGCTACTAGTATTAGTATGACTTCATAGTAGAATTAGATATATTTATTCTGAATTACTACAAGCTACCTTTTTAAAATTATGAAGCTACAATATAGATCATTTGCAAATTCTTCTACTGATACATCTGTTTGTTGTTGGTTTTGGTTTTTTTAGTAACTAAATCAAAATGTCCCTCTTATGTTGGGATCACGGGAATTATTCTACAGGAAATGAAGCATATTTTCAAAATTATCACTAAAGAAGATAAATTAAAAGGTATGTACTACAAGTTTTCTGTATCTTTCACATTTTGAGTAGTCAAAATATTACTTTTGCACATTATTCATCTGATACGTTCTTTGTAAGCCCAAGTGGCAATGCAGGCCGCATAGTACTTATTAATAAAAATCATGCAGCCATGTTCTTGTTGAACAGAATTCTCACCAGAGCAGAACACCTATGGACAGATTGGCTTCATGGAAAATAGCAAAAGATATGCCAGAATCAGATTGATTGTGTTGATCTGATTGTCAGACTAATAGGATGTTTCAAAACATTGGATGCTTTCAAACATTAGAATTCTTGAAGAAGACAGGCCTTCTAAAACTTAGTCATGCCAAAGTACCAGAACCCTGAAGGACAGAGATTTACATTAGTACATTACTGATAATTTTGTTTTGTTTTTTCCTCTTCAACTTCTCTTTCAGTTATTCCCAAGCTTAACAATGTATTTAGCCTGGAGGTTGATGGCTTTATTTCCCACATCTATGGTAGCAAGTTCCAGCTTAGAGCAAGTGAGCGTTCTGCAAAGAAATTCAAAGCAAAAGGAACTATTGACCTGTGATTTTAAGGAAATTCAAAGATATTGGGGATTCATTCATAAACTGAAAATCAAATTAAAAAACAAGAACATATGGAATTCTACGTCCTCTAAAGTGTTTCTTTATACAGAAGTATGAGTTACAAGACACATTTAAGTTACATCTGTTTTTATGTACTAGGTGGTCTCCCAGAATCCTCAGATTGCAGTAATATGTCATTATTTCATTTCCTGAAAATATAGTGTATAACATTTTGGTCTTTTTTTTTTAAATAGTAAACTAATATTTGTGATTCACATCACTTTGTTTTTAAAAATAAAATCATTTTCCCAATTATTTTTTGACTTAATATAACTTTAATTGTGTTGGTTTAGTGTATATAATAGATGTCTCAATTTACATATTTTCAGGTAAATCACACGGTGGAACATGTATGAATTCTAATTCCTGATGTTAAAAGTTGTCTCTCTCTGACGTGTTTCATGGACAGACAGGCTTATATGGAGGAATTTACGTACTGAAAATGAATTAAATCTTGTTTACAACTTGTTTTTAAATTCTGTGTTTTGGCTTCCATACATATTACAGTGCTTGTAAGAAGACTGTAAAAGACTTAAGGCTTTTACAGTATAATCACCATTTGGTGGTGTAAACACAAAATAATTTTTTATGACTTAAATTTTATACACTTGCTTTGTGTAAACTATTTTCTCCTAGAAGCAGGAGCAACTGTTTCATCTGCTCAGTTTTATTTTGACCTATCTGTGACACATACCAGTGCTTACAAACAATATACAGATGAGGGAAGTATAAATGCATAGATAAGTTTAGCGCAGTCTTTCTAGCTGCCAAGGATATCACTATAGCCTGTGTCTTCTCACTGTGGTATGACTTGTCACTTCATTAAATTTCTTGTCTACTCTGCCAGATCACCCATTCTGGCTGTCTTGCATTGGAAGGGCTAACTCTGCAATGATCCTTTTAAAATAATAGGACACTTGTAGATTTCACTGTGGAATAGAAAATAGTGTCTTCACAGGGGAGAGGTTTAATCATAGAATTATAGAATATCAGGGTTGGAAGGGACCCCAGAAGGTCATCTAGTCCAACCCCCTGCTCGAAGCAGGACCAATTCCCAGTTAAATCATCCCAGCCAGGGCTTTGTCAAGCCTGACCTTAAAAACCTCTAAGGAAGGAGATTCTACCACCTCCCTAGGTAACGCATTCCAGTGTTTCACCTCCCTCATAGTGAAAAAGTTTTTCCTAATATCCAATCTAAACCTCCCCCACTGCAACTTGAGACCATTACTCCTCGTTCTGTCATCTGCTACCATTGAGAACAGTCTAGAGCCATCCTCTTTGGAACCCCCTTTTCAGGTAGTTGAAAGCAGCTATCAAATCCCCCCTCATTCTTCTCTTCTGCAGACTAAACAATCCCAGCTCCCTCAGCCTCTCCTCATAACTCATGTGTTCTAGACCCCTAATCATTTTTGTTGCCCTTCGCTGGACTCTCTCCAATTTATCCACATCCTTCTTGTAGTGTGGGGCCCAAAACTGGACACAGTACTCCAGATGAGGCCTCACCAATGTCGAATAGAGGTGAACGATCACGTCCCTCGATCTGCTCGCTATGCCCCTACTTATACATCCCAAAATGCCATTGGCCTTCTTGGCAACAAGGGCACACTGCTGACTCATATCCAGCTTCTCATCCACTGTCACCCCTAGGTCCTTTTCCGCAGAACTGCTGCCTAGCCATTCGGCCCCTAGTCTGTAGCGGTGCATTGGATTCTTCCGTCCTAAGTGCAGGACCCTGCACTTATCCTTATTGAACCTCATCAGATTTCTTTTGGCCCAATCCTCCAATTTGTCTAAGTCCTTCTGTATCCTATCCCTCCCCTCCAGCGTATCTACCACTCCTCCCAGTTTAGTATCATCCGCAAATTTGCTGAGAGTGCAATCTACACCATCCCCCAGATCATTTATGAAGATATTGAACAAAACCGGCCCCAGGACCGACCCCTGGGGCACTCCACTTGACACTGGCTGCCAACTAGACATGGAGCCATTGATCACTACCCGTTGAGCCCGACAATCTAGCCAGCTTTCTACCCACCTTATAGTGCATTCATCCAGCCCATACTTCCTTAACTTGCTGACAAGAATACTGTGGGAGACCGTGTCAAAAGCTTTGCTAAAGTCAAGAAACAATACATCCACTGCTTTCCCTTCATCCACAGAACCAGTAATCTCATCATAAAAGGCAATTAGATTAGTCAGGCATGACCTTCCCTTGGTGAATCCATGCTGGCTGTTCCTGATCACTTTCCTCTCATGCAAGTGCTTCAGGATTGATTCTTTGAGGACCTGCTCCATGATTTTTCCAGGGACTGAGGTGAGGCTGACTGGCCTGTAGTTCCCAGGATCCTCCTTCTTCTCTTTTTTAAAGATTGGCACTACATTAGCCTTTTTCCAGTCATCCGGGACTTCCTCCGTTCGCCACGAGTTTTCAAAGATAATGGCCACTGGCTCTGCAATCATAGCCGCCAATTCCTTCAGCACTCTCGGATGCAACTCATCCGGCCCCATGGACTTGTGCATGTCCAGCTTTTCTAAATAGTCCCTAACCACCTCTATCTCCACAGAGGGCTGGCCATCTCTTCCCCATTTTGTGATGCCCAGCGCAGCAGTCTGGGAGCTGACCTTGTTCGTGAAGACAGAGGCAAAAAAAGCATTGAGTACATTAGCTTTTTCCACATCCTCTGTCACTAGGTTGCCTCCCTCATTCAGTAAGGGGCCCACACTTTCCTTGGCTTTCTTCTTGTTGCCAACATACCTGAAGAAACCCTTCTTGTTACTCTTGACATCTCTTGCTAGCTGCAGCTCTAGGTGCGATTTGGCCCTCCTGATATCATTCCTACATGCCCGAGCAATATTTTTATACTCTTCCCTGGTCATATGTCCAACCTTCCACTTCTTGTAAGCTTCTTTTTTATGTTTAAGATCCGCTAGGATTTCACCATTAAGCCAAGCTGGTCGCCTGCCATATTTACTATTCTTTCGACTCATCGGGATGGCTTGTCCCTGTAACCTCAACAGGGATTCCTTGAAATACAGCCAGCTCTCCTGGACTCCTTTCCCCTTCATATAAGTCCCCCAGGGGATCCTGGCCATCCGTTCCCTGAGGGAGTCGAAGTCTGCTTTCCTGAAGTCCAGGGTCCGTATCCTGCTGCTTACCTTTCTTCCCTGCGTCAGGATCCTGAACTCAACCAACTCATGGTCACTGCCTCCCAGATTCCCATCCACTTTTGCTTCCCCCACTAATTCTACCCGGATTGTGAGCAGCAGGTCAAGAAAAGCGCCCCCCCAGTTGGCTCCTCTAGCATTTGCGCCAGGAAATTGTCCCCTACGCTTTCCAAAAACTTCCTGGATTGTCTATGCACTGCTGTATTGCTCTCCCAGCAGATATCAGGAAAATTAAAGTCACCCATGAGAATCAGGGCATGCGATCTAGTAGCTTCCGTGAGCTGCCGGAAGAAAGCCTCATCTGCCTCATCCCCCTGGTCCGGTGGTCTATAGCAGACTCCCACCACTACATCACTCTTGTTGCACACACTTCTAAACTTAATCCAGAGACACTCAGGTTTTTCTACAGTTTCGTACCGGAGCTCTGAGCAGTCATACTGCTCCCTTACATACAGTGCTACTCCCCCACCTTTTCTGCCCTGCCAGTCCTTCCTGAACAGTTTATAACCATCCATGACAGTACTCCAGTCATGTGAGTTATCCCACCAAGTCTCTGTTATTCCAATCACGTCATAGTTCCTTGACATCACCAGGACCTCCAGTTCTCCCTGCTTGTTTCCAAGGCTTTGTGCATTCGTATATAAGCACTTGAGATAACCTGTTGATCGCCCCTCATTCCCAGTATGAGGCAGGAGCCGTCCCCTCACAGACATTCCTGCCTGTGCTTCCTCCCGGTATCCCGCTTTCCCACTTACCTCAGGGCTTTGGTCTCCTTCCCCCGGTGAACCTAGTTTAAAGCCCTCCTCACTAGGTTAGCCAGCCTGCTGGCAAAAATGCTCTTCCCTCTCTTCGTAAGATGGAGCCCGTCTCTACCCAGCACTCCTCCTTCATGGAACACCATCCCATGGTCAAAGAATCCAAAGCCTTCTCTCCGACACCACCTGCGTAGCCATTCGTTGACTTCGACGATTCGACAGTCCCTACCCAGGCCTTTTCCTTCCACGGGAAGGATGGACGAGAACACCACTTGCGCCTCCAACTCCTTTATCCTTCTTCCCAGAGCCACGTAGTCCGCAGTGATCCGCTCAAGGTCATTCTTGGCAGTATCATTGGTGCCCACGTGGAGAAGCAGGAAGGGGTAGCGATCCGAGGGCTTGATGAGTCTCGGCAGTCTCTCTGTCACATCGCGAATCTTAGCCCCTGGCAAGCAGCAGACTTCTCGGTTTTCCCGGTCAGGGCGGCAGATAGATGACTCAGTCCCCCGGAGGAGAGAGTCCCCGACCACCACCACCCGCCTTCTCCTCTTGGGAGTGGTGGTCGTGGAACCCCCAACCTCAGGACATCGCATCTCATGCCTTCCAACCAGCGGAGTCTCCTTCTGCTTTCTCGCCCCAGACATATCATCTGGTCCACTCTCCGCAACGGTACCTGTGGAGAGAACATGAAAGCGGTTAGTTACCTGTGTCTGTGTTACTGGAACCCGGACATTCCGCTTACCTCTTCTGGAGGTCACATGTTGCCAAGCTTCTTCACTGGCCTCTTGGCTCCTCTGTGCAACCTGCTCTATATCTTTAGAGCTTTGTGCCCCTAGAAGCATATCCTGAGTTTTGTCCAGAAAATCCTCAGTTTCTCGTATGCAATGCAGGGTTGTTATCTGTTGCTCCAGACCTTCAATCTTCTCTTCCAATATGGAGACCAGCTTGCACTTTGTACAGACAAAGTCGCTTCTGTCCTGTGGAAGAAAGACAAACATGGCACATCCAGTGCAGGTCACAACAGCTGAACCCCCCCCTTCCATATCACCTTCCTACTATGAGCTTCCTCAGAGCAGTTTGCAAGACGTAAGCCTCACTGGGCTCACTCCAGGCGAACTCCCAGGCAAACTCCTGCTGTGAGCTGCTCTGCTGTCCCCCGCCGCTCAGCTGGTTTGCGAAGCTCTGGCTATTTTTAAACAGCCAGACTTCCCTGACACAAACAAACGGACACCCTAATGCCCGCCCCCTGCAGGCTAGCAGCCAATCAGACACTCACTCAGGCTCTCACACTGCCCTCCCAGCAAACACGCTCGGATACTTCCTCAGCAAGCAAACACACACACACTCAGATACTTACCAGTTCCAGGCAAACTCCTGCTGTGAGCTGCTCTACTGTCCCCCGCTGCTCAGCTGGTTCGCCGCCGCTCAGCTGGTTCGCGAAGCTCTGGCTATTTATTAATTTGAGGTTTGCTCAATCCTTTTTCCACTTTCCTCCAATCTTTCTGATTTTTTTTTTTAAATTATTTGCATATTATATGGAGGTCCCTCTGTTTTGAAACTCTGACAATTTTAGATCAAGGCAGGCTGAGAGGGAAGAGCATTTGAATACTAGTATTCTAGTGTGGCAAACAAGAAGGCCTAGTCCGTGGCTGCTCCTGAGTGCCTTTTAAGGTTGTTCAAAGAATATTAAACAGAGGGGGGGAAATGCTTTTAACACTCCTAAAAAGAATGTTCATATTAAGCTGTGTAGTGCAAAGGTTCTTTATCATTGCACCCTGCCTGTGTTGAGGAAATTAAGGGAATATCTTTTATAGAAACTGCAATTCTTGGGCAAAATGTGTTTCAAAAATTACTGTGCTGAAATAAAAAAAAATTCAAATGCAGGCTTATGTTGTAGTAAAAAGGAAGAAGGCATTAATTTGGTCAGGATTATAAAGGTAGCATGTCTGAAAACAGAAAATATCCTTGTAGGTAGAATTCTCAATGCATAAAATCTTTCCTTTCAGAATAAGTGTTATTTGGCTATGGGAACATAACAGAGAAAAGGGTTAAAAGAACAAAAGCCTAAAAACATATTGGCTAAGCTAAACTTAGCCCTTCCTTGCCAGTTTGTCGGTCTGGAACGTAGGACATAGCACTGGCAGGGACTTCCTGGGTGCAGGAAACCCAGTCAGATAATCCCATTCATAAACTTTATCATGCTCCACTTTAAAACGAGTTAGGCGTCCCCATTGCTCTTATTGGAAGACTGTTCCACAGCCTCAGTTCTCTGGTCATTAGAAGCCTAATTTCTAGCCTGAATTTATTCAGGGCCAGTTTTTACTCATTTCTTCTTCTGCCACATTGTCCTTTAGCTTAAATAGCTCTTCTGCCTCCCTAGTGCTTAACCCCTCATGTATTTATAGAGAGCAGTCATATCCACACTCAGTCTTCCTGGCTTGTTCAGCCTAGCAAAAGCTCTTCTAGTCTTTTCATAAAATAGGGTCTTCATTCCCCTGATCATCATAGTAACCCTTCTCTGAACCTGTTCCAGTCTGACTGGGCTTTGGTGCCCCATTCCCCATCATTGGGCCTATGAGACAGGCTGCATCCTACAACTTCTGCCTCTTGGACAATCTGCTCCCACCCACCACTCTGAATCTGTTCCTCAGGTCATAGGCTTACTTATTTCAAAGTTCCTTTGTTTCAGAGTTCCTGCTTGCAGATATTGTTAGCCAGTACATCTAGATTAGGCATAGGGCATACCATATTAATGTTGTATTATACCCAGCATGTGGGCAGTTATGTTAACTTTTCCACAGTTCTGTCCACATTCCTCACTTATGTCGAGAGATTATATATCCCACAACCCTCTGCACAGCAAAACGTAGCTTTTGGCATTAACAAATATAAATTCTGACTAAAGACAAGATACATTTGCTCTATGTCTAAGTACAGGTTCCTTCACAGTCAACTTATTTAAAATGTAGTATCCAAAACAGATAAGAAAAGGTACAGAACAAGAAGTTAAGGAAATGGTAGGTTGGATCTTATAAAGTGCTTTCTAACTTATAAGCAACTGTGCTATAGAAGTGGGTTTGGGGGTGTATTTTGGGAAGCGCACTTGTGTGTGGCAAACTGACACACTGCTAGAAACAGGTTCCTGGAAGGATCAGTAGCATAGTAACTCCTTCCTGTGCTATACTATTGATTTTTAGCAGTAAATTGGCTAGGTTTGGTTAATTGGTCTCTTGAACACGTTTCATAATGAACCACAAGTATAGTGAAACAACTAGATACATTTGTAGCAACACTCTCCTTAGGTTTCCAGCAGGGCTGCTGCATTGGTGAAAACTGATTTAAATGTTTCTTGAGAGGGGGTCAAAAGTAGTCTCCTAATAGTAGATTCACTGTATTGTCCATATGAGTGCTAGGCAATTGAATTCTAGTAATTGCTGGGTTCCTGAAGATCTGATCAGAGTCCAGCCACAATTTAAGCCGAGGATTCCATAGAGCCAGCCCCATCATAATACTCAGACAAGTAGAGAGATGCACAGCATTCATAAAATTATATTAATAGCTCCCACAGTCTTCACAAGCAGCTTTTTAACATTCACAACTAATGCATACCATAGGCTTCTTAAAAAATATACACAAGGTAATTGTTACTCCTCTGTCTGTGTTCTAAATTTGATTTGCGTACAAGCTGTAACCTATGAACTGTGTTTTCATGAAGCAAGACTACCTTGGGTTTTTACTAATAAACCACTTGAAGTTTAAACTGGTAATATCCTGATTTAAAAGTATCCCACAGCATAAATGTATTTATAAAATTAGTTAAGACTAATCGTGAAAATAAGTAAATAGTGTTTAAGCTGGTTTTGTTACTGGAAAACCAGACTGCGTTTGAAAGCTGGTCTGAAATATGCAAAGCTTAAGCTACTGTATATATAAAACTACTGCACTTTGAGTATCAATGGTAATTTTAATTCAGTATTTAATGCATGGGAGTGGAGCATGAATACCTACCAGGCCCTGTAAATTCTAATAGAACTGTTATCAAGAAGTTTGGACTACAGTGCTATCTGGTACTTTTTATTGAGCACAAAATTCACTTTAAGAATGTTGATTTAATATATTTATTCATAGTCTGCAGTAATATCATTGTAATAAATTGTACTTTCAAGTACCGTTCTAGCCACCTTGACCCTACTTTATTTCCCTTTTCTCTCTCTGCCTTGGGTACAATTGACTAGTTTCAGAGAGGTGGGGTTTTTTTTTTGTTTTTTTTTTAAATGGCAGCTATCAGAAAAAATATTTTCTTTATACCCCAAATGATGAATTCTTCCCCTTTCCACCGCTTCTCTCCCCCCCCCCCCCCCACACACAATAGAATACTCATAGTCCTCAACTTCTGCCAGTACCAATATAGCATCTAATGTAGATGTTTCATCAGAAGGCAATAATCCCAGTTTTCCAATAAGGAACAGCCCTCAAACATTGGTGTATCTATCTAGTTTCTTATCTGATGCCCATCAGCATTGTCTCTTAGTCCTGTCTGTAAAGAACTAGCATAAGATGGGGCCTAATGAGATGACTTGATTTCTATTTCATGGCCCTGTGTGCTTCTTTTTGGGCAGGTAGTCAGATACTACAACAATAATTAGATACTTTTTCCACTTCTAAGGCCTGTACAATTGGAGTTATGTTATTAAGAGCCTCTGGCTTTGGAGGTAAAAGGTATGAAAAAATATCTATTTGTAAGCAATGTTTCTAAAAGTTTTGGTCAAAGTTTGTTGACATGCAGAAGTGGCATTGTTTAAAGCTTTACTGGCCTTCAGTTTGGGAGGACCTTCAAAACTTGCTTGTGGTTTTGGTGGTATTACATTCCTGTCAATAAAAGTGTTTAGATTGTCTCAGTATCATGTTTGTGTCTTCTCTCCTGCATTTGTATATAATATGGCTAACAATGTATAACCCTTCTTTGCATTGCCCTGCCTTTATCTGAATATCCAGTATGTCCTAAAATAAATAAGATTTTAATGATAACTAATACCCTCTTTCATAGACGTAGAATAAAAATCTTTCATCCTACATTATTTGCAGTTTGCATTGCCTAATTGCTGTCTTTCATAGCCCTATGTCATTAAAACTTACACAATGTTAGGTAGCGTCCTTTTGTAAATAACCCTCAGATTACTAGCCTTTTATACCTGCACTGCTTTTTAAAAGGCTTCTACCATTCAAATCTTTTATAAATATTTGTTTTTGAGAGCAGTCCATGGCAACACTTGTAATGGAAAAGCCCAAGTCTACAATAATTTCCCATTTGAATGTAGTTGAATTTTCCGTGAGTTCACTTATAATTGTTGTCGTCCACTTGCGGCACAACTCAGGCCCCATTGTCACCTCTTCCCGCGACTCCTTTCTTCTTCCACTTGCTACTTGACCACCTAGACTCCAGTCTCTGCCTCTTCATATCTCTCTTCATATCATCCTTCTGTGAGGTAAGTTGGATTTTATTCTAGAGAGAGCTGGTAGTGACCCCTATACATAGGTTGCCTATCATTATCCTTTACAAAGATTCTTATGCCCCATCCCTACCCTTTTTCTTTCTTTTCTTTTTCTTTTTAAGAAGCTTGTTGGCACCAGGCCTTTGAAATTTGTCAGGGAGAAAGTCGAAGGCTGGACCTTAGATGTCTTTCACTTGCAATTCCATTCACATTTAGCTGAGTTACAAACTGTTGAAAATCGCCATTTCCCTTCTTTCACCTTTGTTCCTCAGGAAAATGGTGGCAGTATGTCAATCATAACTAAAAACAAATGTTCCCAGGAGCCATGCCTGCTCCATTGCCGCAGCAGCGCACGCTGTACTGGGAACAGCTGGGAGTGGCTGCAGCAGATCTAGTGGAGGGGTCAAGGTGGGAGAGAGAACCGGAGTACATAGCCCCCATACGCAATCCACCTGCACTGAGGGCACCACAATGAGCAGAAAATCCTCTAAGGTGAAGGCTAGAGCTGTGCTGGGCATCATCCAGCCACCTCTCCAGACCCAGCACCTGGCCACAGCAGTTCATGGACTCACTGAATGCAACAGGAGCCCTTACCTCTTGGGATAGGAGTAAGGAGATTGAGCAGGCTCCTCCTGACCAAACCAGCTTCAGCCTCAATTATCCCCCTGATGCCCCCCTGGACTCAGTTACTGACAAGCACACCACCAGTGGCTCAATCATTTCTCAAGAGAATTAACTAGTTGTTTCGTTTCTTTTAAGGTGAGGCCATGTGGTATTAGCTTTCATCTCAATAAGTTAAAGTGCCACCATGGGGATGCCTCACCAGCAAGAGGGGGAATTTAAAGTGTGGTTTATGGGAAGAAAGGTACAGAAAAAAACAAGAATCACTTTAAAATAATGTCACTATTAGTGAGGTGTAAGTAATGGGAAAGATATTAAAACCAGAAAATGTTTTTAGAAAATAAAATACTGG